TTAGCTGGGAATGAACTTCCTGTTCTTGGACCCTGATCATCCCTATGGGGTTGGAGCAATTTGGTTGCAGTCAAGAGAGCCTGGCTAAGTACACACTACCAATTGTGCATGTACAGGGGGACAGATGCATCACAAAGAGTTTTTGAAATTCCAAATACAGCATGTAGCTAGTTTTGTGGTTTTTTTTTTTTAAGTAAGGTAAAATTTAACTGTAGCTATAGATTGATCATATCCTTTGGTTATAATCAGGAGTTGTATATGAAGAAGCTATCACTTCTGCAGCCCAACCCTTTGCATGAATAAATCCCACTGTGTTCAATAGGATGTACTTCCAAGTAAGGGTGTACAGAATTGCGGCCTTAAATAATTTTTTAAAATTTTGTTAATTGATACTTTACATCTAAAAAAACCCCTGGAATTCCATGTAATTATTTTTTTTAAATAAAAGCTTCTGAAGCTTTGAAGCAAAGCACCTATGTTTTAAGCATACAAGACTGTAGAATTTTTGAAAAGACCAAAAACTTCTGTTTTATAAATATGTAAGTTATGCACCTTAAGGTGCATCTGCTAAATGCCCCAATAAGATTATATTGATATTTCTTGGTCTTCGTTATAAGCAAATGTGCTTAGGATGTCTTTTGATGTTTGCTTATTAATCTTTTTTACTGGGAGAGCACCTTTTAGCCCATCTTTTTATTAGCTGACAGGAGTTGCAGAGAAGATTCTTTCAGCCAGTATCATCAAAACCATTACTGAAATTGCCAATGGATGTGTGCTTTGAGCACAGAAGCTCTGGCAGCTCAGGTTATCTGCAGGTACTGGCCCATTCACTTCCTTGGACGGAATAACCCAGCACACATAAATGGATACATACGTGGACACTCCATGGAAGTGAATGGTGCAGGCCTTGAACCAAGTGAGGTCTATTACTAATGTACTGGGCGGCTGTTAGAATGGGCAACAGAGCAACTGTTACCTTGGAAGCTCTCCATTTTGAATACAACTCTCCCCCCCCCCCCCCCACAACTATTATCAGATTTACCAGTTGCCTGACCTGAAAGGGTTTTCCCAGGAGCTAAAAAGTTTGTGCTTAAAGGGAACATGGGCTGAGTATTGGAAATTCATCATGGGATTGTTTTACAGTGTACTGTAGGGTCCCTTCCCCACAAGTAGTTTGATATTTCACCAGTCTTGCAAATGTCTAGGTAAGTTTATATTTCAGGGACAGTAAAATAATGACGAGGTTGCATTGTCAGCTGTTTTGACAAGTATCTCCTGAAGTCATCTTTCACTACATATTTGAGGGATATATGAATCAAAGAAGCTTGGGGGATGTTCTATGAAAATGTAGGATGGGTTCTGCCCCCCCCCCACACACACACACACACCATGGGGATGGGAGCCCATATTCAGCCTTATTTGCACACAACAGCGAGTAGAGCCATCTCTCCTAAAAATATGTGTCAACTGGGCCCACAGCTGTCCCTTTAAAACTTCCACCAGATGATCACTTGACAACATCCCATTGTATAGGAGCCTTATGCTTTCTTTAGATTTGCACCAAAGCAAATGAACAAAACACTGTTTTTTTAATTTCAGCAGAGTCCTTAATTATCTGTTTGGGCCATCTGCAATTTACTAAGATTCCCATAAAACGTACTTCCAAAGGGAGCTTACAGAGTCTTCTAGTTAAAATGTTTTAAATTTCTGTATTTAAGTATTCATGTATTTTGTTAATAAAAATTGTTATTTATTGTTACATATGCATAAATGTCTACAATCAATGCTGAAATACAAAATCAAAATAATGTATTAAAAGCAAAAGAGAATGAGTGTTCTTTGCATATGGAATACTGGTATTCTGTAGCTGGGTCACGTAGAGGAATATGGTAGCTTTGTGACTTTGCTGACCTAGAGTCAGCTGCTGTCTTGCTTGCAGTCTATTAACTGTGACTTAAGGTTGCTTTGCCTGCTGTTTTTGGCCACTTAATCTGCTTGGTGTCTCCACAGTATAAAGAGAATGCATGCAGTTTTGGAGGTGGATCCAATAAACCAGAATAAGTTCACAAGAACAGATCTAGCCTCTTCCCCCTGAAAAGGTTTGGGAACAGAGTGAGAACAGCCTTGGGGTGGGCTGCTGCCCTTGTACTGAGAAGAGGGGCTGACTTTTACAAATTTCTCAAGCCGTAGCCCCTAACACATTATATCTATATATCTAATAGCCAAGTTGCCCCCTCCGTGCACATTTTCCTGCACATTTGGGTTACCCTCCAGGTGTGCAGAAAAATCTGAAATGTTAAAAAAAACTATGGGGGATACTTTAATCCGACCAAAGGCAAAAGAGTGTTCCCTGCGCATGCGCAGAGAACGCACTTACCACTAGGAACTGTGGCAGAGCCGTGCAGGGCTTGCTGCCATTGCTGCTGGCAGCGGCGGCAGCATGGGGGGAGAAGCCTTGGAAGGCCAGCAGCTGGGAGCTGCGGCCATTGCTGCTGGGGGGTGGGAGAAGCCTGGCCAGCCCCTTGGCTAGGTGCCATGCAGGGCTTGCTGCTGTTGCCGCTGGTGGAAGGAGAAACCTTGGAGGGCCGGCACTGGGAGCCACGGACGTTGTTGCAGTCGGCGGGTGGGGGGGAGAAGCCTGGGGGCCTGGCAGCTAGGAGCCACACAGGGCTCACTGCCGCTACTGCTGGCAGCCACGGTGGCGGGGGGGGAGAAACTTTGGAGGGCCGGCGGCTGGGAGCCGTGGCCATTGCTGCTGTCAGGTGGGGGGGGGGAGCCTGGCAAGCCCACCAGACCACTTGCTGGGCTCCCCTGTGGCCACTGTTGCCGCCTCCTCTGTGTGGAGCTCCTGCTGCTTCAGCAGGCCAGCCACCCAGAAGCCGCAGGGAATACTCCCCCTCTGCAAGTATCGTGGGTCCTGCTTCTTGTCCCACTCTATTCTCAAAGGTCTTCTGCCCCTTCATTTACAGAACAGCTTTTGGGGAGCCCAGGAGGGAAGGTAGAATCTGTCCCATTCATGTTCATTCTGTCAAACCCTTAATTTCCAAATGCCACATTGGTAAAAAAGATCAATTGTTTTTGACTAGAGTAAAAACAGACTGCCATAAGGAGAATGTAGAACACACCTTCATCCAAGAATGATAGGAACACTGTGCATGAGAAGAGGCACATTTCCAAGTTTCATGTGGATAAGGGACCAAAATCTGCCGGTCGCAGGTAAAGCAAGAGGGCTTTTTCACAAAACAGATCAGAAGAGGAGCTACAGCCTCCTGCCTTTGCACCTCCTTATGGCCCACAGGTTTAAGTAGTTCTCTGTCAGCAGGGTTTAGTTACTCTCAGCCCTACAGCCCACTTTCAATTTTTTATTTAAAAAAGATTTCCTGCTACCTGTGTCCATCACATGAATATCTGGAGACATATAAATAAATGTGGATCCACTTTCAATGTCAAAATTTGGACCTCTGTCTAAAGTAGTGACTAGGTTACCTCCAAAAACAAAATCTACTTTTCATTTGTGAACTAAAAACAGTCTTTGTAAGGAATGAAGCACATTGATAAGACTGTTCAAACATACTTCTGTAACAAATTGTTCAGAACAAATTGTTCAGAACCTTGCTGCAAGCGGAACAATTTAAAATAATGTCATAATATTTGCTGTGTGGGAAAAGGTAACTTGAAATCATGTGGTCCCTCAAATATAATCTTGCTACACTTCAAGGTAACCCGTTTTGCAAAAGCTTGCTTAATATAATCGCACTTGCTGCTTCATTTTAGGCTTGGACCGGGCTACTCTGGGGCTAGTGAAATCAGATTCATGGCCTATTCACCCGTTAGATACACACATCAGGTTTGTTATGCTTACTGGTAAAATGGACAGCCCAGTTCTCATATATTGCAGAGGATCCAGATAACTGAAGCCAGTCATGTCCCCCTGACTATTGAGGTGAAGAGACCTTCAAAATTCATAAAGTAAAACATTTTTTAGATTTAAAAAAACCTTTATTTGATGAAAAATATATACATGGAAATGTGATTTGATTTCTTCTGAAGAAGAACTAAGAATCTGCATGGTATATTTTACAAATAATTGACTGTATAATGTGTATTTATTGCTGTTCTACAATAGCTGGGGGAGGGGGGAATGACACAAAGAAGTTAAAATATTAAAGCAGCTCAGATTTCAGTCAGTGACTCTTGGCATAGGGTTGTGGATGTTTCTTAATTTAATTATTCCTGGTATTGCTTTAGCATCTTTAGTGCAAACAATTTTTAATTACTCCAAAAGCAATTGTCAATCCCCGTTACTAATACAAGCTGGGGGACGGGGGGAGGACAATACAATGCTGTCTGGATATCAAGAGTAGGCAGAATTATAACTTGATTCCCTACAGCCGGCATATCAAACCATCTCACTCTTTGTTAAAAAAAGATACATAATATCTGGTATTTAAAATCAATACAGTATTATGTTTCCACAAGAATTCACTACTGATCCCTATGAACATGAACATGTCCCTTCAAGAACATCTGTACAGATGCATGTGTAGGTTTTGCAAGGTCCCAGTTCAACACTTCAATGCTAAACAACAGTATAAGCTTTAGTACCATGGGGGGGGGGGGGGGGGGGGGGGGGGGATGAAGACAGACCCAAGATCCTGGATTTCTCTTCAACTTCAGGCGCATATGGCATTGGAGGCTTTTCACAATTTTACAAGAAGTTTCAGGAGGCACTGTCTGCTTTCTGAATAGGGAGAGTGGGGGAAATTTCACTTCCTGCATCTCCATGTGACAATGTGAGTAACGTGAAACCAGCTGTTGGTTCTTATTTTGTTGTTTTGTTTGTATTTTTACATGCATGTGTGTGTGCACCTGGAAGTCATGGCGACCTCTGGTGACTGACTCCTACTGGGGGTATGGAGTATATTCAGAGACGTGGCTGAATAAAGCCTCCCCTCAACTCCCGACTGCTGGTATTCCAAGGAGGTCTCCCATCCAAGTACTTGCCAGAGTCGGCCCTGCTTAGCTTCTGAGATCAGATGAGATCGGGCTTGCCTGGGCCGTCCAGGCCAGGGCCAGCATTCTGTTGGTACTGATAGTGTGGAAGGGCCTCATTTGCTCATGGAATCTCCCCTAGGTGCGCACTCTAGTGGGGCTAAAGGAGCACATGCCCACAAATGCCATATGGAGGACATGTTTGAAATGACTACCTAGTACAGGTGAATTTGGGCACTGTAGACCTCAAATATAGTGTACAAATACCTGTAAAAATGGCCCCTAAAAGCCTATTATTAAAACAGATTGTTTTAGCAACATGTTACCTATTATGGAAGAGTGACTGTTATACACCATGTGACTGCCATCCAATATTAAACTCTATTCTTCACTTTATATCAGTACAACAGGTAGCAGTGAAGCTGTTCAAACTGAATGATGCATGCTGAGTTAATTGGCTTATTTGTTAACATGCTATTATTTCCTTCCTGGATAATGCAGCCACCACCAAAACTGATTCCTCCCTAACTCCAATAATATCTAAATCAACTTCAGTGGTTGGCAGATCACAGAGCTTTGAATAGATGTAGCTGACATACACAAGAAATAACCATATTGTGCTGCTCTACTAGACGTTTGCATTGCTAACCAAACAAGAGATGGTCCAGCAGCAGCCACAGGTACAAAGTTTTTCATATAAATGATTTAATTGTGCTTCTTTTAGCAGACCTACATTTCTGTGTCCAACACCCAACTTTTACTTATTTGTAGGTCTGGAGGCAAACGGCAGAAGACTGTTTGAACCAATTCTACAGGGGAATGCTGCTCTCCAAGAGTGAGAGAATAAAAGACACACTTTCTGTTAAAAAAATTTTTTAACATATCCCACTGAAGATATGAACTCATAGCAATGTCTTTGTTTGAGCAAAGTACAGCATAGTTCAGGATCAGTTCAGGTATTTATTAGGTACATTGACTGCCTACACCAGAAGTTCTAAAAGACACATACTATAAAGTAACCTCAACATTGTGCTTTTAGGGGGAAATGCATTAGAAACAATTGCTTCATTTATTTAGGGCCTATTTACAAAAACCCAAAGTTCTCTGTTTTAACAATAAATAAGCCAGATATTCAAAACCTCAATGCTCATGCACACTCTAAGGTGGAAACATGCTTGGAAAATATTTACACAGGGCACAATCCACTGGGACCTTTTCCTGCACAAGTCCCCTTTAGATGAATGGGAGTCCATCGTGTTCTTCTGCAACTCCTGTTCATTTCTACAGCGCTTGTGCAAAGTACCATCCTGAAAGGATCCTGCCCATGAACAGTACTCTCTCCAAAACCCAACAGCAGAAGAAAGTGCATTTTCCTCCCAACATTCTGTTTTGTATGTGTCATTTTTATGACTCCTTCAGTCTTGCTTCTGTGGGATGCACCCTTCCATCTCCACGACCTCTGGCCACCCTTCATATTTGTTTGTATCTTTGTTGTTTTTAATATGCTGTAAACAAATGTTACAGTTAAAATGAAGCTGATTGCCCCAATGCAAAAACAGTCATCTTGATGAGAACTCTAAACATTTAGTCAATAAAATAATGTAGTAACATGGGGCCCATGTTAAGAATGAGATATACATGTGAGGGCTTGTTATAATGATTGTTAGCCACATGAAAATGGTGCCAAAGAATCACCACTGGAGTCACATTTCCATGCCCAAAAGCGTGAGAACCAGCCCTACGAATCAGTCCTAAGGAGGTGGGGATTAGATGCAGGCTTGTATAGTACAAAGAATTTTGTTTGGTTCTTCTACACAGCTTTTCAAAAAATTAAGGAGGAACGAATACATTTCTAAAATATCATATTTTGCTCCTTCTGCATTACCATTTGGTTCAGAACTGTTTGGCACTGAGCCATTAGTGCAGATACCAAGGCTGTCCCAAAAGCACATTTATTTTATTTTAAAAATTTACATAGTTTGCCTTTTTTCATGTAACACACAAAGCCGTGTATTCATGTCTAAAACTTTTAAGAACCAAACATTCACACTTCAACTGACTGATGTGATAGAGGTATGAAAGTACAATCTTTGGGAAGTTGGTTTAATGGAATGGTATTAAAAACTCAAGTTACTTGCTCTATGAATGTGCTTCACATTAAAAGGAAATTAAGATACAAATTTAAGTCAACACAGATTTTTATAGCAGTACCTGTAAAGTAACCTGTTTATATTGATGCAAATGAAAATAGTGAGAACAACAGGAATGTTCCATTGCTTGTACCCAAATCTAGTGATTAGGTATATGGGGTATATTACAATCAGATTAGGAGATTAGTTGGGGGTTATAATCTATAATCAGGGAAGTATAGAATTCATGAGCAGGAGGGGATATGGCTTTAGAGCTCAGCAGCACTAAAGCTACCCACTGTGGGCAGCTATACTGTATAGTCCACTAGCCAGTTCAATGGATTGGTCTGAGGCCTGGCGAAGACCGCCAGATATGCCATTGACAGAGCAGGGGATACCAGTGCTCCTGGGGAGGGGAAAGTATAGCAGTGGGAAAAGGCACAATTATAAGGGAGGGAGACAGAAAAGCGAATTAGCTCGATCCCCTTCCAGCCTGCGTCCCATCCTGAAGGAGGTAGGCTATGGGGCTAGGCAAACTGACCCCCCTCATCATTGGTGTTGTGTAACGCCAGGTCTATCAATAACAAGACCACAGTCCTTCGAGACTTTCTGCTCGAGCAGCATGTAGACTTGGCGTGCATGACTGAAACCTGGGTGTGAGATGGGGAGACTGTAGCTCTCTCTCAGATGGCTCCACCTGGGTATTCGGTCCTCCACCAATCGCGGACTAGGGGGTGGGGGGGCAGAGTGGCTCTGCTCATTCGGGAGGCTTACTCCTTCAGGGCACTACCGCCACCAAAGCTCACAGGCATTGAGTGTGCCGGTCTAGTGTGGGAAGCAGAGGAGAGTTTGGCTATCAGGGTGGTGTACTGTCCGCCCAACGCACCAGCCTCTAGCCTGCCATCCCAGCTGGGCATTGGAGCACTGATAGTCCTCGGTGACTTCTATGTCCATGCGAAAGATACGGCCTCTTCGCAGGCGATGGACCTGGTGTCATCCATGGCGGCACTGGGACTCTCCCAATATGTAATGGTTCCCACTCACCAGGCCGGGCACACACTCGATTTGATCTTTGCAGCGGGGTTACAGTGGACCGGATCACTGCTATGGCAGTGCCATGATCGGACCACCATGCCCTGAAGGCCCGTCTGAATGTTTCCCCCCAGCCATGTTTGGGCGGTGAGCGTATTTTAGCTCGCCTGCAGAGCCAAATGGACCCTATGCGGCTTCAGATGGCTCTGCGAGATCCAATGCCCCCTGGCAGCTCAATGGATGAGCTCATAGAGGACTGGCATAGCCAACTCTCTGCAGCCACCGACGAGATCGCTCCCAGACACCCTCTCCGTCCTCGCTCTAGGCAGCGAATGCGTGACAAAGCCACAAGAGCATCTTATAGGACGTTTATGAAATCCTATGAGATGGCAGTCAAAACCACGAAGAGAGTTCTACGCGGTCACAATTGCGTCTGCAAGCTCATGCCCGGCTCAATTGTTTAGAACGATTGTCTTGCCACAGGGCAAACCTAACGCTAGCGAATTGGATATCGGCTGTGAGGCTTTTGCGAGCTATTTTGCAGATAAGGTCTTGTTGCTCCACCACGATCTCCCCCCCCCCCAGTTGAGATAGTACGTGAACTTGAGGCTCCATGCACGTCTTCTAGTCCAATTTTGGATTATTTCAGTCCACTCAGCCTAGAGGAAGTTGACAGATTGCTCTCGACAGTACGTCCAACCACGTGCAGCCTTGACCCATGCCCTTCATGGCTAACTAAAGCAGGCTGTGAGGGGTTCTAAGCCTGCCTTTGGTAGGGAGGGCAGGATAAAAATTGAATAAATAAAATAAAAAATAAAATTAATTTTCTACACTGAACAAGGTAAATCAAAATGCTTGTGCTCTCCTGGGTGATGGGGCCAGGTGTCGTGTCCTATTCACTCAGGTATGAACCATGCCTGTTGTCTGAAAACAAACCTGTTCAAATGGACTTTTAGTCTTGATTCCTTTCCCACCGCAGAAGACCCAATTGTCTCTGAAGCCAAGGCTCGTGATGGATGTGCTTCCCAATTCAGCAATGAGCTTCCGTGCCTCTTCATTTAGCCTTGAACAAAATTCAGTGAGTTTACTGTATAGAATATTCAAATACACATTCTTTTTCAAATGCCTTTCAAGTTCTCGTCCTGTTTGGGCAAACAGTAGAGGCTGCAACATCAGTATGTCTCATGTCAGTTCTTTAGGAGAACACATGAACTTGAAGAAACAAAAAGAGGGAACTGGATTTTATCACATTCACCCCATTATCCTTGTCTCTTTGTTCCCTGCTCCACTTTTGGTCTCCTCCAGTGTCGGTCAAAGTTCACAGCTCTTTTCTAAGTAATGGTTATTCAGTATAAAGTAAAGGTAAAGGTTCCTTTGCTCAAAAGCCAGTCGAATCCGACTCTAGGGCCGAAGAGCCAGCGCTGTCCGAAGACGTTTCCGTGGTCATGTGGCCGGCATGACTAAACACCAAGGCGCACGGAACGCTGTTACCTTCCCACCGAAGTGGTACCTATTTATCTACTTGCAATTTCTTGCTTTCGAACTGCTTGGTTGGCAGGAGGTGGAACTAGAGACGGCAGCTCACTCCGTCATGCGGCACACTCGGGTCTCGAACTGCTGAACTACCAACCTCCCACAGCCTGCAGTTCAGCGTCTTAACCACTTGAGCCACCGCAGCTTCCAGTAATGTATACTTGATTATCCTAATGTATTATCCTAATGTATACTGAATGTATATTCAGTATACATTAGGATAAACAGGGGAAAACAAAGCTTCTCATTTAACTTGTCTGAAGAAACACCTAACCTAGATAAACAAGCTCCCAGTCCCACTAAATCAGAGCATTTCTGACTCAGTTGCTATTCAATGTTATAACAGAACAAAACCATACTAACCTGTGTCTATTAATAAGTGCTAAATGTTATGCTACTATTGACCCTTCTCCTCTATGAAACTAGGAGAGTTTGTTTAGTTTAGTTCTCCCCCCGCCCATAGCCACAGTGGTGCAAAAGGGGGCCGTGCCCCATTTGTTGGTTGTCATATCCCTCCAGTCAGAACCAGGGGTTGGTGTGAAATCTGTCACCAGTATGCTGATGACACCCAGCTATATCTGTTGATGGGTGGCCAGCCAGACACCAGCCCAGTGAACCTGGCTGAAGGTTTGGAGACTGTGGTGGGGTGGCTGAAACAGAGCTGGCTGAGGCTGAATCCTGCAAAGACGGAGGTTCTATGGCTGGGAATGGGGGATTTGGGGTTGGGGCGCCATCTCCTGGCTCTTGGCGGTGTGCCCTTGACACCAGCATCAACTGTCAAGAGCCTGGGTGTGATTCCAGATGCCTCCTTATCAATGGAGGCCCAGGTCACAAATGGCATTTTACCAACTGCGCCAGGTCCAGCAACTGGCCCCCTACCTGTCTCACCCTGACCTAGCCACGGTAATGCAACAGTCACCTCCCACTTGCTCTACACAGGACTACCTTTGAGACTGACCCAGAAACTCCAACTGGTCCAGAATGCGGCAGCGCAAGTCCTCATGGGGACTCCACGTATGACACATACTCAAACCATGCTCTGTGAGCTGCACTGACTTCTGGTGGAGTACCAGATCAGGTTCAAGGTATTCACCTTTAAAGCCCTTAACAGTCAGGTCCTCGTATACCTCCCAAAGAGCATTACGCTCAGTCAATAAGTACTTGTTGGTGGTCCCTGGCCCGAGAGACATCTGTCTGTCCTTGACCAGGGCCAGGGCTTTCTCAGCCTTGGCCCCAGCCTGGTGAAACTCTCTGCCACATGACATCCATGCCCTGTCTGATCTATTAAAGTTCCACAAAGCATGCAAGGCAGAGATGTTCCACCAGGCCTTTGGCTGAGGCCAGCGACGGTTCCCTTACATCTGCCTGGCACCCTCCCCTCCTCTCCCCCTCCCCCATGAAGATCTGAATGCTAGATAGGCCATTTTGTTTTTTAAAGTGTTTAAATATTTATGCTGAATGTTTTCATATTGAATTCTTGTAGTTTTAATTGGTTTTAAAATTTTACTGAATTATGTCGTTGTAAACTGCCCTGAGCCCCACGTAAGCGGGGAAGGGCGGTTAAGAAATCTAATGAAATTAATAAATAAATAATGTACCGGATGTATGTGTTCACTGTAACTTGTGAACAGGACTACTGTAGCACCAGGTCAAGGGAATATACTGTAGCCCTGAATGAAGAAGAGCTGGAGAACAAGAGAATGGGGAGTGGGAGATTTAGGAAGGCTAGCACTTATCTGCCCCTTCCATTTTGGGAAACATGACCCTGCACAGGATCTTCCGTTGTGGATTCCCCACTTATCTCCTCAAGCACCCAGAAACATTTTGAATACAAACAAGGATTATGAAAGCTTTATGGAGCAAAATGACTAGTGTTTTCTACAGACTTACTTAGTGGCGCCGTCATCATAGGTTGCCATTAAGACAATAGTTCCATCTGGAATAGTCTTTATGAATTCAATAAGTGGAGCTACATCTAAACAACACGGAAGCATGCGTTATTATAGCACAACAATCTTTCTCTTTCTAATATACTACATGTGGTAGTATGGCTTTGCACATGGCTTCATTTGCTATGATAGCATCATGAAGGATTCTATCTGAAATGATTTCATTTCCAAAACTTCTCCTCAAAATTCACTTTTGCTAAATTTGATAAATATTTTCCAGATATCAGGGTGGATCTGACCCCTATCCTACTTCTCCACCGAGCAAGATTTGTTGGCTTATTTATTTATCAAAATATTTATACCTCACCTTTCCCACTGGCTCAAGTTTGGAATCTTCCTCCAATTTAAGGAAACTTCCTCCTACTTATATGGCTCTTCTCCCAACAGAAGAATAATTTAAGTTGGAGAAAGTCTCCTTAGGCTGGAGAAAGGCTATTTGGAGGGAGGTTGGATCCACCCCAGTCTCCCAACAGCTTTGACAATGATACTTGCTTTATAGTAGTTCATATTTTGCAGTATTTCATAACTGAAATCCAGTGTTATTATGGTGAAAGAGACAACTAACAGTCAATAGTACATCACAGTGGTCGTCCGGTTTTGTACTATGAAACTCCTGCCCTTTGTAGAGGATACTGGAGGATGTCCTAGGTTTCAAATTCACTTAATACACTATTGGGCCTTAATTCTGCCCACTGTAAATTAAAAATGTGCCCATTATACAATCAGCATTCCTTGTGTCTGTGTGTTACTGAAGCATTTTTATGTGACAGTTGAGAAATTTGATGGATAACATGGAATGGTAATCTGTACTGGAATGCTGATGAGCTTTCAGCCTGCAAACAATAAAAAGATGCCAGAGAGACACTCTAAAGCATGTCAAATTTTATACCAAAGTTTTCATACTCAAACTGCAATCTGAATTTCTCATTCGAAGTTTTGCATTCAAAAGGCGAATGACAAGACGGGATAATGGGTGAATTCCAACTATTCCATTCAGATCAAATTCCAGAAAAACATATAAATCAGTGATGAACAATACTGTGTTCCGCCCAAAAAATGAAAATGGAACAAGAACAGTTTTTGTTGTGCACTGATGACCTTTATATAGGAATAATGTACTTCTGCACCTACCTCCGCCCCACATGTCAAAGAACTTTGTGTCCATTCCTTCACCTGTTTTGCCTAGAAGACGGAAAATATGTGACTGAAGTAGTTTAGCTCAATAACATGCTCAAAAATTACACCAGACATGGTGAACAGGGTATGCCTGCCTCTTCAACAACATCATCACAGGCCTCAGCTTTTTCCTAGGACTGTGCTCACCTCCTCTAAGCACCAGATAGAGGCCCATGATTGGGTTGGATGCAAGAACTACCAACAGAGAAAGGATCTTTCCTGCTGTTTCCTATCTTCTGCAAGCCACCACACAGTGGGTGCGTTCAGATGGGGGCTTTCTGCCGGCATAAACTGCACCGGTTGGAATCGGTGCAGTTTCTGCCGGCATAAACGCGATCAAACTTACCTCCATTTTGCGGTTCCCATCGTTGTACACCCGGTCACACGCTGCGGGCGTCGGCGAGTTTTTTTTTTTTTAAAAAAAAACACAGCTTGAGCATGCGCATAGGCAGCCATTCACAGAATGGCGATCTTTGCGCATGCTCAAGAACACCCCCCCATTACATTTAAACTTTAAAGGTAAGGACTTACCTTTAAAGTTTAAAGCCCAAACTGGCCTCCCTTAAGTCCCGGACTCCTCTGAGTAGGTAAAGTAAGGGCTTTAAAAAAAACAAAAAAAAAACGCTCAGGGCGAAGCTTCGCCCGAGCGCATATCGCTTAGAGTTAAAAAAAATGGCGGGGGGAAAATGGAAGCCTTAGGCTTCCGACGGAAATGGCTAGGCACAGGTGGAGAGCGATCAGATGCCGGTGTACATCGGAAGCCACCGTTGCACTCAGGATACCACCACTTGGGACCTAGTGGCAGAGTGCAACGGTGTAAAGGGCAGGAGGCAGATGTGCCCCGTCTGAAGGCCGGTGAGTACAACGGTTGGAACCGGCACCCTAACCGATGTAAAGCCCCCGTCTGAACGCACCCCTCGTGAGGCACAGAAATGGAAGCTCTTTAGAATGCAATTGGTATTTTATTAGACATATTAGATAGAGGGCTCACTACTATCCTCACAATCTTATTATGCAACTAAGTAAAATAAAGGGAATGTTCTATAACCATGGGCACAAAAAAATGACCATGCTATCCTTGTTCATCAAATTGAATAGGGATGAAATATTCAGTTTCATGAACAAGGATAATACTGTCATTTTTTCAAGGGGGGAAAATTGGAATTTACAACTGTACAAATTTAAGATGTGTAGTCCTTCAAACCTTCTGAACTGGATATAAGGGCTGACAGATCTTTACTCTATTTGTATCTGATGAAGTGAGCTTTGACTCATGAAAGCTTATACCCCTGGAAAATGTTGTTGGTCTTTAAGGTGCTACTGGACTCGAATACTAGGTTCAGTTAATCCAAACATGAGTTCACCTTTTCCTATAACTCTTCTCACCAACATTCAGTTTTGATTTCTGCATGTCTAGAGAACATTAATATGTACTTAAGATGACAATGTCGCTAGAATTCAAAGTCACTTACCATTTACCAAAGCTATGTTGATGCCTCTCCCAACATTGTTTTTAACTCCACTCATTAATCTGAAACAAGACAACAAAAAGAATTACAACACGTGTTGTTGTTTTTTTAAATAGAGGAGTCTCCTGACCCACAAAATTCTCTGGCAACTCTCTCTTAGCTCTCCTTATTTTGCTAAGTGACAACTGCACATACAACAGTTACTGAAAACACTAACCCTCTTCAACAATGCCCCTGTTCATTAATGCTTGGAAGCATGGGGCAGTCAACAAAATTAGTTTCCATGAGTCACATGTGGACACTGACCTGGTGGCTAAATGCAAAACCGAGCCCCAACAGTCTGTTCCCTACAACAAGGAACCCCAAGCAGCAATGGGCTTGCTCCGGTTGTTCTCATGGTACAGAGTTATAAGTCTCCCACAAACATCCACCAGGTTCTTTAAACAAGTCTAGGCCTCATTCCTGGAGTGGAGCAGTAGAAAAGCTTAATCATTGTTATTAAAGATACTGAAGTTTATTTGTCAACAGATTTCAGAACAACAACATGCCTCACTACAAAGTATTTCTTCTGTATATTCCCACTCATTTGGTTACATCTTGTTTTCATGTGATCTTTGCATAGTAATGTTACATTCCTAACTCCTGATTGTTGTCTTGAGGGCTTTATTTTGCAACATTTTCTTCTCTGCCTCTCCTCTTTGTAGACACACACATACACACACACCCTGAAGGTATCTGACAAAGTGGGCTGTGATTGCTGAAACTTTATGCAAACCCGCCCCACAAAAAAAACCAGTTTATAAGGTACCACAAGATGCTTAATTGTTTTGGTTGTAACAGACTTACACTGCAATTCTAAGGAGAGTTGCATCATAACAACATAAGAGACGCCAATGTTGGATCAGGCCAAAGGCCCATCCAGTCCAACACTCTGTGTCACACAGTGGCCAGAAATACCAGTGCCATCAGGAGGTCCAGCAGTGGGGCCAGGACATTAGAAGCCCTCCCACTGTTGACCCCCCCCCCCAAGCACCAAGAAGACAGAGCATCACTTGCCCCAAAGCCCCTAGCTATACGTTGTGGCTAATAGCCACTGATGGACCTCTGCTCCATATGCTTATCTAATTCCCTTTTGAAGCCGTCCATGCTTGTAGCACCCACCACTTCCTGTGGCAGTGAATTCCATGTGTTAATCACTCTTTGGGTGAAGAAGTACTTCCTTTTATCCGTTCTAACCCGACCGCTCTGCAGTTTCATGGCGTGCCCACGAGTTCTTGTATTGTGAGAAAGGGAGAAAAGTACCGCTTTCTTTACCTGCTCTTTCCCATGCATAATCTTATAAACCTCGATCATGTCACCCCTCAGTCGTCTTTTCTCCAAGCTAAAGAGCCCTAAGCGCTTTAACCTTTCCTCGTAGGTTTCCTCGTAGGTTTCCTTCTAAGTCTCTTGATTTCAATGGACTTAGAAGAGTACAGCTTTGCTCAGATTGCACTGTAAGACTGCTCCTGAATCTTCTGCTGTTTAAGAAGCTCTCAACTTCCTAGATGTTGGCATTGTAAACAATCGAAGGGATGGTATTCCCATATGTGGTGGGAGTGCCCAGAGGTCAGAGTATTCTGGACAAAGATATTACAAATTATAAAAAAGACATGTAAAGCATCATTACACATTAACTTTAATGCTAATGAGTATAGTAGGTAATCCAGCAATAAGCAAAGAGAACCAAGCTTTGTTCAAAGCCATGATACTAGCAGGCAAAGCAGTAATAGCTCTAGGCTGGAAGAACAAAAATAAATGGACAGTAGAAATCTGGCATAATTATTTGTTTGATCTCATACAGTCCGACATAATCGAAAAGCTGGAACGTAAGGCCACATGGAAAGACAAGACTACGGAGATCACGATGAAAGGGAAGACCTACCTGGAATGGATACCGACAGAAGGAAGAAAAGACATTCACAGCAAGATTCGGACTTTGTGCCCGTGGCTGGGAATATAGGACTAAAGCACCGGGATAGCATAGGGGGGAGGGGGGAGGGGAAAAACTACTATGTAAACGCATGGTTAAAAGATAATATGTAAAATTTCTGTAAAACAATTAAAAAAATAAATATTAAAAAGAAAGAAAGAAGCTCTCAACTACATTTTGAAAATGACTTTTTCCAAATAGCTGTCTTAAGAGAAGAAGAATGTCCTCTGAGTCACAACCAACTCATGGCAACTGCATCCACAGCACAAGAGATGAACAGAGGTTGCCACCAATGTTCCCTCTAAGCTGAGTTAGTGTGAGCCAGCTGACAGTTTTTTAGCCTCCGGCTCACACATTTTTGTCTTGGCTCAGGAAGGAGGGCTCCGGAGTAAAGTAATTTGTGCAGCAGCCAAATCGCTCGCTCACAACTTTAATGCCAGTCACTTACCAAGTAGGATTTTTGCTCACAAGACTCCGCGGCTTAGAGGGAGCCTTGGTTGCCACTGCCTAATGTCTTCCTCCTTGTGGGTCCTCCCATCCAAGTACAAATTCTGACCTGCTTTGCTTCTAAGCTCTGATGAGCTTGGCGTAAGATGGACTATTTGGGCTGCAGTTTCAAGACAACCTTACTCAAAAAGGGCATTTTAACTCTCAATAAAATCTCCCTGATACTCAAACACGCCATTATCAGAATACAATATTGATTTTATTCCAGGCACTAGCAAGAGTGATTTGTGTATATGGCTGACAGCTATTCTTTGCAAAATCTCACTGAATGCTCATGGCTCGGAAAAACCCCCGGGGTTTTTTTGAGTTTTTTTCGGGGGGGAAATGGAAATTTTTGGAAAAATTGAAAAAAATGCTACATTAGCATTTCTTTTGTCTTTTCTAGATTGAAAGTCATTCCGTTACTTTAGGAACATAAAACATGACTATGGACATTTTAACTTGGCATGAAATTATCACAACTAGCATATTAAAAATATAGTGTATCCAAACAATTATTACAAACAGAATACCCACCCACATGCAAAAACAAAACTGAAACCTTTTAATTTTTTTCCAGACAATAGTACCTCCTAAAGGAAGAAATGCATCTTGTTCTTGCATTGGAGAGTTCAGTTTGTAACCTAGGACTTGCTTGACCTCAGTGCACAGAAATTAGATCAATCTGATACCATATATATATATATTAGAAATGATTTGGAAAATATTTGAACACCTTGTCTTAAAATATTGTATTCATCATGTTAAAATAAAACGTTCCATAATCAATTTTTTTCTTTTCTTTTCTTTTTTCAATTTTTCCAATTCTTCGGAAAAAAACAAAAAAGGCTTCAGGGAAAAAACGGGGGGAAAACGTTTTTTCCCCAAATTTTTCCGGTTCTTTTCCCGGGCCTTCACATCTCTAGTCTTCGCATCTGAATCCTGCACATGTCATCCATGCAAATTTTCCTTTGGACAATAAAGGGATAAATGTAGTCAGCTGCTCATGCCTCCAACTGGCAGCACTTCCTTTAAAGGCTACAGCTCCTCTTTAAACTCATTCTAGTCCGGAGGACTATTAGCTTGGAGCAGAAACCAGACAATGGCTGTTCTAAAAATGAAATATAACAGAAACTCAGGAAACTTGGAGGGATAACATGCTAGCCCCATGATGCGTTAACACCTCTTGATGGGAACCTGCAGGTTTGATGGGCTGGATCCCCAAGGCTTAGCACCCAGATTGGCTGAAAAACCCAGAACACACGTGAGGTGGGGTCTGAGAAAGGGAGATGTTCTTTTGTCTGGGGTTCCTTCTTGGTTCAAGCTCTTAGGGGCACTCCTTGCTGGGAACTTCTGAGATATTTTCCTTAGTGTGCTTAGATCCTGTACTTTGCAATACCCTGAGTTTTTGCCTTGTAGAAATAAAGTCTTGTTTAACTTGAGAGAGTCTGCACAAGTTTTTACCCACCTGCCTGGCTCCTTGGCATGCTACTGAGTGATACCTCTGTGAGGCCAGCTTTGGGAAACAAAAGGACTATCTGTGCAGAAAAGTATCAAGTAGGACATGACAGCTTTCTTCTGTTCTGTTTGGAAGTTACTGCTAGTCACTGGCCACTAGAGGACAGCAACACCCCAGTTTGGAAATCCTGTCCAAATTTTGATCAGTGGTCACAGAAGAAGAGGGCCTTCCTTATCAAGACTGGAGTAACATGACATTCTGAGAAATGTGAGACCAAGGTCTTTAAGTAAGATGAACATATTACTGATGCATTGAAATTTTCATCTGAACTTGGCTTAGAGCCAACATCAGCACCACTTATTCTAACTACAGGATCAGAGTTAGTAAGCAATTGCTTCTTTTGCAACTACCCCCCACAATATTCAATTAATTTAAGAAGAATTTCTCTTCAATTGCTAAAATAGGAATTTATGTTTCCAGGAGGTCGTCAAAATGAACATAAAATGAACACTAACAAAAAGGGTAGTAGATTTTGTATTGTGAGGATCTTGTCGTGCAAGGTCATTCTGAAATCAACCCATCATGCTACACCTGAGTTTCACATTTAAAGAAAAGAATGTTTTTGATATCAATACCCATCGTATGCACCTGAGCTGCCAAAGCGCAGCTCTGCTTTTGAAAGCTATGCTGCTGTAATCTAATCTCGTGAACTGCAGAGCATACAAGAACCTGAAACCTTCTGTTCACTTGACGTGTAAATGCAAATGTCATTCTGATAGATCAAGGTGACGAAGTTTTGGCTTCTAGAACTTTCAACAGAAGTAACTGTTGAAGAAAAAACCCTATTGTGAGTATGCAGTAGGGGCAGATCATGGATTTTCTACTTTATTTTGTCCCCTCCCTCAGACCTTGAGCTGCAGCACAAACAAGAAAGGTGGCAGAGGCTCACAGAAAAAGGGGGAATTGTCACAGGTATAATAACACATCTGTGGGGTCCTCAAATAAAGATCCTTGGAGATCCTGGGGAATAAAGAAACAAACCTCTAATGGAGGGTGAGATAAAATGGACAAAAGTTGTGGTGGGACAGGTGATGAGACACACTGTGTGCCTTGTTCCAATACATAGATATGGGCCTTTTCCGCATTCTCATTTCCCTCATTTGTAGGTTTCTGTTTCATCAGGGCTTTTCCCCTGTTCCATGTTTGTTTTGCTCCCACTGGTTTATGTCTAGCATAAAAACCTGCAGTTTACATCTTCAGGGAGAAAGGCTGGACATACACCACTGCAATATCTAATCAACCACTAGATACAGCAGAACACATGTGGAACAGAAACCCTCTCCTAAAGAAACGGGGATTTACAAGAAGGAAAATGAGAATGTAGAAGAAGAAGAAGAAAAGGAGGAGGAAATTGGATTTATACACCACCCTTCAAAACCCAAAGGTGTCTCAGAGCGGTTTACAAACTCCTTTCCCTTCCCCTCCCCACAACAGACACCCTGAGAGGTAGGTGGGGCCGAGAGAGCTCTTGACATAAACTGCTCTTTTTCAAGAACAGCTCTTATCAGAACTACGGCTTGCCCAAGGTCATCCAGCCAGGTGCAAGTGGAGGAGTGGGGAATCAAACCCGGTTCTCCCAGATTAGAGTCCGCACACTTAACCACTACACCAAACTGGCTCTCCGTTAATCTCCTTCTCAGACTTCATCTACCCATGTATTTATAGTTCGCCTTTCTAACTGAGACTCCAGGTAGATTACACAATGAAAGTCCATGCAATTAGTAGAACGAGACATCTGATAAGCAATATAATAGGACTAAGATTACAGAAATGTGCAACTAAAACACATCAGACATGATATATTAAGCAATGCAGACAATGCATTGAAATGGTAGAATGGTCTGTACTGTTTCAGACTTAAGGTGACAGATTACGTTTCCTTACATTTAAAAAATTCCCTGTAAGTGAAAGACGAGCACAGAGTGCAAAGAGCTATGCTTTTCCCACTGACAGGTTAATTTTTAGGTTTCTGGAATCTTTATTATTTAGAAAATTCATACATCACCTCTCTAGAGACTTACAACTATAATTAAGACATTAAAAACAAAATGAAGCCATTAAATCAAAGCGGTATCACGTATATTGAACCAATACTGTAACAATTTTAGAGAAGTACTTCTATATGTTCTGACCTGCAAGGATGGTATTTGCACATTTACTGGAAACAATCGACATTGCCTGGCAAATTAGAACGGTTCTTGTTGCAGAAATTGTTATCAATAGCTAAAACGAACCTCAATTCAAAATTCTAAGAATAGTTTAAGTAACAAAAACTGGCAAAAATTGGTTGCATTTAAAAAATATCTTTAAGCTGTTAGAAATTATCAGCTAAGAAAGCAATAACTAGAACTATGTACATTTTCTTCATTTCTTTTTAATATGTGAACTGGATGTGTTATTTTCACTGGATACTGACTGCATGAATACTTCTTAATAAAATAAATTTTAATAAACAACAACAAGACAGTACAAACACATGTCATTAAAACAACCCAAGGCATCACACCATAAAATACACATTGACCAGGCTAAAATAAGGAAGATAAAATGATCTTCAGGCCAGAAGCAGATCATAAAACATTTAACAGCTAAAACTCCTTCATTAAAAGCCTAGGTAAAAAGGAATCTTTTGGCCTGGCATCTAAAGGGAAAGGGAGCATTAAAAATGTGTCACCTCTCCCCTAGAAATCTGAAGTAGTATACTCCATCCTATCACTTCAGAATTATACCACCTCCTGGTATGTAAGTAAATCAGACCTTAGACCTTGAAACTGGATAAAAGCAAAGAAAGGTCAAGCAGAGAAACTTTATCTCATTAAGGACTATCATTGGGGTGTATCAAAAGTTAAGAATCTCATCAAAATTCTCTACATTCCACACATTACAAATCTACAAAATATTCCAGGGAAGAAGCAGCTTGCTTGTTTTCCAGATCATATTTCTGAAGGGCCTTCTGCTGATACCTAATTAGAAACTGCTCTCTTACACACATGCAAGTAAACAAGTGACTACTATGCATGAATGTCACAGCCCTTAAAAGTATGTCACACGCTACTGTTTTCCTAAGCCCTCGAATAACCAAGTGTAGGGTTTGGGATGACTATTATTTATAATTCCTGTTTGTCTCAGTTCCCTTGTCCTTTCCTTTTGTTTTGCTGCTGCTATTGTCTTTGTGATATCCACTGCTGAAATATTAATGTGCTGGTTTCTATTTTCATTATTGTGTTCATTAATTGGGTTTATTGCAGTTTTTTATAACAGCGTGCGTCGCCTTGAGAACGGATGGGGGAATATAAATCTGTAAGACAAAGAACATATGTGCACAGCAGCACAGAAGCCCACACAAGCAGCAGACTGTATGTTTAGTCTCTGTAATGAATCCAGCCTTACAACTTTTTGGAAGCTATGTTCATGATAAGTTTGCATCCAGAACTAAACCATACATATTCTCCTTAAAACTGACATGGGATTTGACTTCAAAGGGCTTAACTCTGCTTGGGATTGCTCTGTTACTTTACTAATACACTCTTAGATTCAATTAATCGGTTTTTATACCAACATATTAAGTCAGTGGGCCAAAAGAGAGTCACTTTCCAACTATGAACAAAGCCATCAAAGAATCTGGGGTGTCATTTTACTGATTTTATAGATGCCTCCTTTGCTGATTACATGTGTAGGTATGAATGTATTCTGTGCTATTAACCCCGAAAAGGTGAAACTGCAATGAGAAAACTACTCTCCTATAACTACAAATGCTTCTAATCTTACAAAGTAACTTTAATTACAGTGCTCAGCAATAGAATCTAATCCATTACTCGGTATCTGCTGTGCAGTTATATGTGCCAGTAATGGCATGCTTATAATGTTCTCTAACTAATGGCTTATCTATCGTCTTTTAGCTCTGGTACTGGGAGGCATAGCAAATGTAACTGTAGGCTGTACAGTCTCACGATAGGAGGAAATGATAAAATTGAAAAGACACACCAGAACTTTTGTGCTGCCAGCTTGTCCCTTTACAAAAAAATGGAGGTAATTCACTGGAAACCAAAAAGTCGAAACCCACGGCACCCCCAGCCCCAGGGAC